GACCCAGAGCCACAGTGCTTGAGAATTAGGGTCTGAGAAGCAAACGATTTTCAGATAACTGACACTTAACCCTTGAAGTGCCGCCACATACCCTTAACCACTTCTGTTGACAACCTTTCTAAAAGTTACTTAATTATCCTGATAAAAGAAAGCCCAAATTAGAATTTTATATGAATTAAGTCAGTGAGCTGACTGGAGGCTAGGACCGCAGCTACAGGCAAGTCCCTGCTTTAGGTTACTGGGTAGGTGGGAGCCCCAGGGCTGCCTATCGCTTATTTTTTGCTTCTCAGCCATGTTCCAGGTATATGAGGACCCTGACTACTTCCTGGGGTACTACTGTATGGGTACGCCTAGTGTACAGTTTTAAAACTCTTGTAGCACAGTGAGCAAGAGTGCAGGTTCTCACCACCTCGGCTGCGAGGCCTTGAGTGAGTCACTTAATGTTCCTTAGACATCAGTGTTCTTGGCTGAAATATGGAGACAATCGTACTCTTACCCCATAGGGTTCACGTGTGCATCGAGTTAGAATTCACATGTAAAGACCTTAGCATAGCAGCTGGTACAAAGTAAGCACTCAGATCATTACATGCTCTTATTACAAGTAATATACAACCTCAGACGGCATTTGCTTCGCTATTTTAGCTGGTGATTTTTGCATTTCTATCAGCAAAAATCCATTAGCTCTTTTCCCCTAAAAGTACATTAATTTATCTCAGTGGTTCTCAACTGGGGAAATATTGTCCCCTGGAGGACATTTGGCAATGCCTGGAGACATTTTTGGTTGTCACAATACAGGGAGAGGCTAGGGAGGTTGTCAAATAGCACCCTAAAGGAAAAACTCAGGTTTGTTCCTAGTCATGTAAACTGTGGGTCATAGGCAAAAAGTTTGATAGCAACTGTCCTAGATCCTATCAGAAACTGGTTGCATCTCATTTATTCCTGAGGGGCCTGACATTTTTATACCAGGATCCATTGAGCCTTCCCAGAAAGCCTCTCCACCCCATATGCAACGCCAAATGGCCAATCTACCCTGAAAGATTAGATGCCCAAAATAAGCAATGAGGAACACACAG